ATACCTGAGTAAAGAACCACAGGATCTTTGGTGACTTTCTCATTCTTCTCTTTTAATTCACCACACAGTTTGAAAGCAGATGGTGTTTTCTTCATGGTCACCTTCAATTCCTGTGGAAAAATGACATAACTATTACTATAAAGTTTATATAAATTAAAATCTGTCGAGAGAGTGTCACTGACCTTTAGTGTACCTCTATCAGCCATTTTTCTAACATCTTCAGCACCCCAGAAAGCACCACTAGGAACGTATAGCCCATGACCATGAGAATTAGAAAGAGCTTTTGCATAAATTTTCTGTTGTATTGCTTCATTTGCAAGAGTAGTTGGTGAGCCAATCTATAGAGTTTAATATTAACTTTAACTAGTATCACCACATTTACGAAAGATAAAGTTTTCAAATTTCAATCAAAGCATAACCAATCAGTCAAAAACTAGTTGAATCTCTTTATCTCATTCTAATAACTGCCAGTTGTGAACTGGAACAATATGAAATACTTTGTTTATCATATTACCATATAATCTGCATGCTCTAAAAACTTTTCTCCAAATTTATCTGTGATGCATGGATGAGCCACCTCAACAATCAGGTCAACTTTTCTAGTAAAAAAAAACACAAGATTGAACTCATTGAAGTGTCTATCCTGAATATAATTTGTTACAAAAATATCCCTTTGAAATCTTCTACCTTTCTGTGAATTTTTCCAGATCTTTCAATATCAAATCATTGTCAACATGTCCTAGTACACTCTCATAGGTCCTATTCCAAACAAATCCTAACTCCAGGTCTTTACTATCAAGAATTGATTTTACCAGGTATTGACCTTTGAAAAGGAAACTAATGTGAATATAATTTGAATTTGTGAACCTCAGCACCTGATTCTCATTGGTAATCTGCTGTTGAGGACTCATTTCTCGAGGAGGGTGAATTTTATAGCTTAATTTCCCAGATAGGTGATACGTTGCAGATTTCTTGCCATTCGAGAGGGGTAAAAATTTGGAAAAATGAGGTCCTCAACAGGAGTCTTTCTGAATGTATTAAATACTATCAGTGCGATAATCAATATTCATAGTAAAATACTAAAATTTACAATTTATTTATTTACCAAGATGTCCAAAGCCTACGACTCCAACACGACGAACTTTACTCCTGTTTTCTGACATGATATAGAAAATTTACTGCCAAAATTTTTCACAAACACCTTTACACTGAAATAACCAATAATTCTATATTATTCTCTGTACTTTACCGTCTGTTGCTCACTGATGTACACACGTGATTCAAGCCTAGAATGCATTCAGGTTCTGTATAGAGATCAAACCCGATCTAACTCCGAAGTTGTTCCGAAGCACGACGACAACTCACGATAGCGCTGTTTCTATAGCAACACCTCCATATTGTTTATTTTGATATATTTTTATAATCTTGATTCTTTAAAAAAACCTCAAAATATTCCTTCAAAATGCCTCCAAAAAAGAAAAAATCGGGCGCCAAGAAGCTGGCCAATATGACGGAAGAAGAAAGGATGATTTATCTGGAGCAAAAACGGCTCGCTGAGGAAGAGATGCGTAAGAAAAAAGAGGAAATGTTAACACAATTTTTGAAGGTGCAGAATATTGAGTTTTTGGTTTACTTTATTGTGTTTGTAGTCTATTAGACTCTTTATTATTGTTGTATTAATGTTGATTAATAGTTTCATACACGGTATTGACCTTATATAGTTGCAAAATATAGATCTATAATGGTTCACACAGATATTGACGTATATTGGTAGTGTAATACCAATCAATATTGACCTATATTGGGGGAAATATAGAGATATTGACCTATAGTTGTATTGACATTGACCTACAGTTTTCGGTTCTATATAACATCACGAATAGTTTATAAATGAAGTGTCTTTTGTCTGGAAATATAGTACATTTATTCACTTCACTTTCTCAATTTTCATAGTGTGTTATTTAACAAAAGCTTTCTTAAGATAGATTGTTATCATACAACTGTTTATTTCTTAACTAGGATAAACTAGCTAAAGAAGAAAAGAATTCAAAATTTAACCTGCACAAACTTCAGAACCAGTGGAGAGTGATCATGAGAGAAAGTATGGGGCATCTGTAGCCTGATCTTTATAAATTATTATAAATCCTATCATGCATTTCCTGTGAAAGCCAATTTCATTGAATCATTATTACCACAGACATTTCCATTATTATATCATTCGAAAACCCATGACCTGCTGTCACTATTTCCCCAATACAAACCTTCCTGAATACAAACTTTCAGACTTGCCTGACCTTGCAAAACTTATTTACTTCATTGTCAATGCAACCCTGAGTGTTGGTCTTATGAAATATTTCAAGGTAAAGCCCAAGATCTAAAGAAAGATATTGAAATATTAAGTCAGACTTTTGAGAGAATTATTGATCGTAAAGAAGCAATCATCAAGTCACTTGTGAAGGATATTGAAGAGGCGGAGGAACAATATGAGATGGCTCTGAGAAGTCACTTGCAGAATCAAGATCATATTATAGGTTTGGAAATATGTTTTCATCTTGGCTTGCTTGTTTGTTGATGTATGTTTATGTATAAATGATTGTGTTATCTATTTGTCTTAAGATTTACACCAGAGCCGACTCAAAACGCTTTCTGAGGAGTTCAAGAAAGAACAAACAATTGTCAAGGAGGAATTTGATAAGGAAAGGTTGGTTATTCGAAGCTAGTTGTTGAGCTAGAATTGAATTGCTCAAAGCTGAAATATGGCTGCTTTCTTTGCAGACAAGAAATAATATCACAACATAAGCAAGAGATAACAGACATTCAGGATATTGTCTTCGCGATGGAGCAGGAGAACCAGGAACAAGATGGCGAGATGAAACAAGAATTTCAAAGCTATAGAGATGAAATTAAAAATAAAGTATATTATGTTCTAATTGTACAAAATTGTGGATGATTACTGGTTTAATAGGGTTAATTATTAATTTAAATGTAATTTGATCCATTCAGAATTTGGAAGAGAAACATGCTTTACGGATACAACTTGAGGGAACCGTTGAAGATTTGTGGAGGCAGTTTCAACAGGTATGGTATATTGTATCCACATGCAAATACAATACTGTGTAACAACAAACCGTGCTTTTATATTCAGGCCTTGAAGAACTACAATGAAACAACAGAAGAACGGAAGAATGCTTTTGAAAATCTTAAGCAACGAGATGAGAAGAGCGCCAAGGAGATTGAGACGCAGATGAGAAAACTACAGAGAATTCAGGTTTGTGATGAGAAGAATCTTGTCCTAATCATTTGAGGTAATTTTCGTGGAAAAGGTGGTGATTTAAACCAGTTCCATTCATGGATAACTGATGCTATCTTTCTATTTTGACTGCAGGACACAATTGCTCAACTGAAAGTGAAGTTATCCAGCAATGCAAAGGAATGTGACGAACGAAACAAAGTCATCAAGGAGGTAGTTTAAATCTTCTTCAACCATTCTGTCTTCAAGTTGTTAACACTGATGAAGACTGACGATCTTTGGGCTTCTTTTAAATATTTAGCAACGGGAGGTGATTGCCGTAGAGTTCCATCAACTCAAAGCAGAAATGAACAAATACAGAGAGAGTGAAAGGTATTGTTCCTCACTGTTGGTTGAAGAATCTTTCAACCAGATAATCTTCGGTGGTTATCATCAAATTATTCCAACTATATTTAGATATGCTCTCACACAGCTGACCTTACAAAGTAATGCTACGATTAAAGAACTCACTCGTCTGAAAGAGAAGGTTCGTTCAATATTTACGGGAGACCCGACAGAGGAAGATCATGGAAGACTTCTTACCACTTCTTTTTTCTTCACAGGGAGCTAAAATTTTCCGCCTCGCTGAAATGTGCCGCAAACTAGAGACGGAACAAGAGAAGGTTCTGCCGTTTTACGCCTCGTCTCTGACAGAGGAAGAAGAACAGCAAGCGAAGACAGCGGAGATGGAGGCGCCTGCGGAAATACTCGCTAAGGTAAGAAAGATGAGAATGTATGATTCATAATAAATGCTCTGTGGATAGAGAGAATTAAGCGAAGATAAAGATAAACCAGTTGATGAATCGTGGAACTTCGAATGTTGGTCAAGTGTCTTGTTCCAGACATGAGCTGCATGGGGTTACTTCGACATTCCTGAGAGTTTCACAGAGTTTCACACTGGCTCATTGATCAGACATTTCTCGCACATCACAAACTGCACTAAAAAATAAGACAAGTTTTGAAGAGATTTTGCAGTATCAAATACTTAATACGTGGTGTACCTACAAGGCTACAAGCTAAATTACTTAAGTTTTGAAGAGCTTGGTTATTCTTTAGGTTCTACACGAGTACACATCGTTGGAAAACTTTTGGAAGAGATACAACAAGGTTGTCCTCGATAAGTTGGCTTTGGATAAAGAGAAACGTGATCTTTTGCAAGAAAATACGCAGCTTCGTGCTGTTCTGAAGCAGTATCTGGATGGTAAACTATCAGAATATCCTATGACATTTTGGTTGTTCAAAATCGTGTACGTAAAATATGTCTCACTAAATCCTTAGGCATTTCTGTCAACGATGAAATTTTAACTCAACAAAATCCACTGTTTGTTGTCAACAATAAAACTAACGTCAAGTAAGTGAACGTTTTCACGTTAAATTTGTGTCGCATGGACCTCGTACCTCTTGTGAACACACCATCATTGCTAACCTTGTTTTTTTTCTTTCAGATTCACCGTACCAGTGAACGATGGCAGAGTAAGACGCGCTGTTCCAGCCACGGTTGTTGAGGCCGCACATGTTGTGAAACATACAATATGACCCTAGCTTACATATAGACTATAGATGATTGTATATGATATGAATATTATTCCAGATATGGAACTGTGTATATATTTGTAAATAAAATTGATTATTACTGAAATTGTTTGCTGTTGTTGCTGCTGTGCTCATAAACACGTACACACAAAAATAGAAATAAATATAGATTCTCTGAACAAAAGATATATTTACAATCATTGTGAAAATTCTGAGATACAGCAAAATAGTTTTTGGAGTTCTAGAAGGTAGACGCCATAAGAACATTACAACTGTTATCATACCATCGTGTACAAACGAGAGTAACCATCATGGAGTACAGTTCATCTCACATGATGCAACCTTTAATGCAATTTACAAGCGCAATTCTATCATGTAAAAACATAAGTATAGAAATATATATATTGTGCGTAGTTTTGAACTTGTAGCAGGGTGAGATTCCACAACTAACGTGTTTTTAGGAAATATTTTTCAGAAACTTTGTCTGATCCAAAGATTTTATAGCTTACCTTTAAACTATAAACTTTCTAAACACGATAATAGCTATTTTTTCTTGATAACGAAACTTGCCTGTAGAGAGAATATTCTGCATTTGCGAATAGATTCATTAGTTGTTTATAAGAGATTAATATTTGTATAAAATTTCATCGCCTAAAACGATCAACTTTCTTAGGCATTCATAAGATCTTACAGTATCCTTGCTAGACTCGTATAGGGAAGACGGCTTCGTAAGCTACGGGCGATCACGAGACGCTGACGAGTTACGACAAAGATGGCGTCGTGCTACGAATGATTGCATTACCCTGCATGAAGTATCTCAGTTTAAAGTGCCTCGGCACTGCGCAGCTCCACACAAACATGGAATCTTCTCGTCCTCGATGGGGAACTTGTAATCGTACGTGATCTCTTCATTCACGGCAATGTCCCGTTTTGAATATATCACGATTTTCTTCTCCGACTCAAACGTTACCACTTTAGCATAGCAGTTTGGCTAAAAGTCACAAGAAACAGATCCATTATATACACCTTATTGATACTATTGATAGCTTTATCAATTCTAAATCCAAAAGTCCAAATTCTTGACTTTACTTACATCACAACAATGGTTTATAAATCGGGCGAGATTTCCATATTTTGTTGCATCGATGATCGTGTCGGAATCAACTCGGAATAGATAGCTACTGCCGATGCCAAGACGTTCGTAACGTTTCTCTCGATCGTCGGCGATCGCTTGTCGTACGACTTCACCAACATATTCGATAACCATCTCATCCCGAGCTATAGGCTCCAGAGCAAACAATCCCCAATCGTGAATTCGAGATTTACAAAACGTTAGCTTCTTCTTTCGTACCTTTAGAGAGGAATAGAATTTGAGTTATTATCTATTAGTTCCCTGAAGGTCCAGTTATGATCTATTAGTTCCCAAAACATCCAGTTATGATCTAACAGTTCCCAAGAGTTTGCCCGCACAAACCTTGAGTTGGTTAAACTTGAGAATATCACCAAAATCTTCCAACTGGAAGGACGCAGCCAACCTTCTCTGAAGTGCTCTGTTCTCTCGCGATTGTTGTTTCGCTTTGTTCGCTTCCTGAAAATATCATGAAAATTTTCACTTTCTTTAACCATTCCACAATCTCAACATATACCCTATTATCATCTTCCATCCTCAGATCCGATCCCCTAAGATCCACAATCCTCCCTTACCTTCTCATTATCTTTCTTGTTAACAACAGCCGCTGACACCTCAACTTGTCTTCTTGCGGCTTCAAGATATTTCGCCTTCTCCTTCATACTGATTTTATAAAAACCTTCGCATCTTGCACTGCCCGAGTCGAGAATACGAACCCCGCAGTTGTCAACCTTTTTATTCCTTCCTTTCGTCACACCAGGAGACGTAGCTTTCATTATGTTAAGGAAATTATTGTGGATCCAGTGTAACAAGTAGCTTTACAATAAACTGTCGTGGTTTGTGTCTGAACTACCTGAGAAAGTTATCTCAAATGTGGTGGTCCAGTGTAGGTAGTATTCTACAATAAACTGTCGTGGTTTGTGTCTGAACTACCTGAGAAAGTTATCTAAAACGTGGTGGTCCAGTGTAGGTAGTATTCTACAATAAGCTGTCGTGGTTTGTGTCTGAACTACCTGAGAAAGATATCTCAAATGTAGTGGTATAGTGTAGGTAGTATTCTACAATAAACTGTCGTGGTTTGTGTCCGAACTACCTGAAAAAGATATCTCAAACGTGGTGGTCCAGTGTAGGTAGTATTCTACAATAAGCTGTCGTGGTTTGTGTCCGAACTACCTGAAAAAGATATCTCAAACGTGGTGGTCCAGTGTAGGTGGTATTCTAAAATAAGCGGTTTTGGTTTGTGTCGAACTACCTGAAAAAGATATTTCAAACGTGGTGGTCTAGTGTAGGTAGTATTCCAGTGTCCTGGGATGTTAAACATGAAATAATAAGTTTAAAAAGACAAAAAGATACTGGGATGAAATGACCACCTCGCGTTCGCTACAGAGTCTGATCCAACTTGACATAAATTCTCGAATCCAATTTTCATATAACTGGCATCTTCATAATCCAGGCCAGAAACCAAGAAATCATAGACCAGACGATCATCTTGCCAGTATGATCGGAGAGGAAACTCTGGTGGGAGTTCAATAACAGGTTCTTCCACAGGTTCAGGCGGGGTTTCCTTAGAAACAGGCAGTTCTTCGCCTCCCTGAGTGACCTGGGGAGTTTTAAAGTCTACAGCGGATTCTTCAGACGTTGATTCAACCTTTCCAGGAATGTGTTTGTGTGGTGTGGCAATACTAGAAGCCTCACTCATCCCTTCTTCGCCCGCATCACTCGTCAGAATACCCACTTCCCCTGCTTTCTCCTGTTCACTTTCCTCAATCATAGGTGTCCCCAAACTTCCCTCTTTATCTTGTGGTAACATATTTAAACCACTAGTGTCCTCCGTTCTCGAACCCTCGTCATCAACAGTGGTAACATCGATAGGGCTAGCGGTAGGGGTAATTGAGGCATTTGAGGGTGTTCCAGAGACAGCAGGAGATGTTGGTGGACTTTTAGGCGGGGTACCTGGAGGTGTTTGTGGTATTTTCCGTTCTGCAAAAATGGGAATATTTAGAATTTATCCACCATTAATAACATTCAAAATATGTCTTATAATTACCAAATATGTCTTCAGCATCCTTCCCAGTCTCCTCATCGTCGCCTTCTTCAGAGTCAGTGTGTGATCTCTGACTACCGTTCCAATCACTATCATCATCCCCAGACTCCTCAGACCCACTCTCGTCGCCACTCTGGGAACTTTCTGACTCACTCAGACTGGAGTAGATGTTTGTATAAAGAGTTGAACCAACACTGCTGTGTTTCTCTGTAAAAGTAGGGAGTCAAATATTATGATTAACTTTGGTCCAGTCTATGTAATCGAGTTTAGGTACTTTATAACAAACTGTAATGGTTTATGTCGGAATCACTTGAAAAAGATATTTCAAACGTAGGTAGTATTCTACAATAAGCTGTCGTGGTTTGTGCCTTAACTACCTGTGAAAAATATCTCAAACGTGGTGGTCCAGCGTCGGTCTGAAAAGTCTCAAGAGACTACATTACCTTCTGTCCTGACACTGGTTGCCGGTGGTTCATCAACGACGTCATCGTCTGGTTGCCAGGGAGACCCGACACTTACGTCATCATTTACCCAATCATCCTGACGTTTTCGTTTCAATTTTCCGGGAGCGTCCGAATCACTATCGGTTACGATGCGTTTTTGTTCTCGCTCAGACCTCGATTCGGTGCGTTGCCGTTTTGAATACAGATCACTTCCGCTTGTGCTCGGTGGGCGACGTTTACGAAACGAGGGCATCTTGGGAAGGGATGCACGCAGTCCCAGCATTCCACCCTGGCTCATGGTTGTGGAGAATGATGACGTGAAAGGTGATGTCATATCCGTTGCTAACGACGTGGTTGGGGTTTGGTTTGATGGCGCTGTCGTCGTTTCCGATGGGGAAGGTTTTTTGAGCTAAGAAACAAAACAAATAAATAAAAAAGGGAATATTGGTTACAAAAGCAACAGTTGGGTGACATTTCAACGTCTGTTTTCATTTGCGATTTTCTTCTTTTGAGAGATATGAATGAGCGGACAAGTTACGAATGTGCAAAAGAGGGCACTTATACATCAGAGCATTCATCACTGTCAACTCATTCACATCTATCCAAAGACGAAAATCGCTGCAACAATTGCAAGTGTAAATGGCACTTGAGATAACTTTAATTTCTGTGTGTTGTCCCACCAGCCTTCCAAAGCTTTAAACGCTGAGTTTTCACCAGTCTTTTGTTGACATCTTTCTTCAAAATGATCGCCAACTCTTCCGTGGCTCTTTTCAAAACTTCCTCGGAAATTCTGATCTTCCAATTTCTTACGTACAGGTCTTTGATCATGCGGGGAGGGCATGCGTGTGGTGGGGATTGGGGGGTTGATACACTGGGGGAGTGGGGGTACACTGTTTAGGGTTGATACAAATTGAGGGGGTACGTCGGAAGGAAAGATGTGGAACTAAAGGATGTGGCGGTGGCAAGGTTGCTATCGATAAGGGTGGTATGGGTATACGATGAGGGACTATTGGCATTGCAGGATAGGTTGGTGGAGGAATACTAGGGTTATACGGTGGCATAAAGGGTGGAGGTAGAACTGGAGGAGCATTGGGGTGAAGGTGGGGTAGGAGGGGGAACAGGGGGTACAGGCTTAGTAACCTCAAGAGTTTCTTCATTGAGCTGATGGATGAGAGTGACATTGCATCATCATTATCCTCAGTTGATCGTTTCGTTGTTCAACGGATGATTCTATCTTTACAGCAGTATTCACAACTTCAGCTTGTCTGGCGGAAATGAGGTTCTGCGTTCGGAGAAACATAATTCATTGGCTCATGATGTGTTGGTGAGGAAACAGGCGAGATATCCTCGACCATTGGTAAATAATTCTCCTGAACACTGCTTTGGCTGTCTAAGTTCTCGAGCACATCTGTGCCTAAACCTAGCTGCTTCTCTGTCCTTGGAGACAACGACTTCAGTGAAAGACTGTCTGTATTAAATGGCGACCCACTGGCTTTGCCATTGTTTAAATTCGTATCAGAAATGTTAAATCTGTCCTTCTTTTGAGAAATTTCCTCAGATTTGTTGATTTGCTTGTCAGGTTTCTTCGCATCTCTTTTATCTCTCTCGTACACATCAGAACGAGGTCTTGGTGATCTGGTTCTCTCTGAGTCTTTATTCTCATAATCGTATCGGCCTTTGGAGATATCTAACAGTCAAATGTCAAATCATACGTTGAAATGTTAAAGGTTGAACATCAAAATTTTATCACAAATGCAAAGTGAACAATGAAATGAGGGCAATACAGTTGAGTGGAAATGATTCTAAGATTTGAAAAGGTTATTTTTATCATCATGGCAAGATGGTGAAAGAACAAAGGTTAAAGAGACAAATTAATGACAAAAAGAAATGCAAACAACTCCAACCTTTTGAGCTCTTTGAGCTTTTTTCACTGCCATAACTATCATCAGAGTCACGACTTCGTCTACCTTCAGACTCGCGAAAACTAGATCGTCTCAGCTCGTTTCTCGTATAATTATCTCTCTCCTTCTCCCTTGGGTAATAATCTCTGTGATTTGAGGAATATCTCGAATCTCTAGAATCTCTTCCTCTCTCGTCAGTCGATGAACGTCGATATGAACCGTAGTCATAACGATCTCGACCCGAGTGCCAATCTCGTCTCCGCCATTCAGCCTCGTCATGTTGGCGACTTTTATGAGAATCCCTCGAACCTAAATGGAAAAACAACAAAAACATTGTTAGTTGTACCAGAAACTCAAGATTAGCAAATAAATACTGCAATAATCATTTCAGCATTGCTGTAAAATCCGAAACAGAAACCTTTTTGACTATTGTCTATACACTGAAAGATCAGGACCTGTTGTGGGTTAGGTTTCTACTCAATTGGGGAAGGGGGGTAACCCCAGAATAGGTATAAGATCCCAGCCTACAAATTTTGTTTATAATAATGTCTGTGAAGAGCTACAGTTGGAATAAATATCACCCACCTTTAGACAAGGATTTTGAATCTTTGTTCTGATAACGGTCTTGTTTTGTTGTGCTTGGAATTGGTGAGGGTGTTCGGCACTTTTCAGGGAGGGGTGGTGGTGGGGCATCCGGAGGGGGGGGAGGGGGGAGAGGAAGTTTCTCAGATGGTGGAGATATTGGTTCAAACACTGGCACCTTGTTTTGTTGTGTTAGGGGTGTGGGCCACGTTGACGGTGATCTACCTTGATGTTTATCACCACTTGTGGAGGCTACGCTGCCACTGTTACGTCTCCTGGGGTCGGCTAATCCTAATCCAGGGGTTGAAGGTGTACTATTTGATGGAGAAGAATTAGACGGAGGTGGGGTAGGTATAACATGGTGGCCTGGGATACGATCAATAGATGGTGGCGTTTTATTCACAGGGTCTGATGTGCGACGTGCTGGTGGGTGTGATTTTTGGAGGTGTTTCACTTCAACTGAAAATGAATACAAATGTTTGAGATGCCTCTGACATGCATGACTGCAATAACCTGGAAACATATTTTACTATGTATTAAAATGATTTCATCTATTTACATATCTAAACAGCTATTACTAAACTAGCTTTATTTATACTGGATAGCTCTATCAGTTCTAAACTGTTCTTCCTAGAGTTCCAGTAAGAATCATCTCTTATTCATCCAGTGTTACTACAGGAGGAAACCTAAACTAAACTAACTTTATTTCTACTGGATAGCTCTATCAGTTCTAAACTGTTCTTCCTAGAGATCCAGTAAGGATCATCTCTTATTGATCCAGTGTTACTACAGGAGGAAACCTAAACTAAACTAACTTTATTTCTACTGGATAGCTCTATCAGTTCTAAACATCTCATCATAGAAGTCCAATAAGGATCATTTTTTATATATCTAATATACCTAAAGAAAATCTAAACCAATTTATTAAGACTATGATTTAGACTTAGTAGTCCAGTATATAGTGAGGTCAAAGACAAGATTTACAAAAGGCAAATAATTTTGTCTGCGTAAACAAACAAAATGTCAGAAAATCAACTACCTTTGTGTTCAAAATCAGCGTGAACAATACAGCCCATGATGGATGTGCCATCGAGCTTTGCTACAGCTAGTTTTGCAGAAGCGGATGTTGTAAAACCAACTCGGGCTTTTCCCGAATGACGCTTCGTTACCGGATCGTAAAATATCTTAATTCCTTCGATATTGCCAAATTTATCACAAATATCCTGCAGAAATTTCTTATCCACATTATCGTTGAGTCCAGTGAGGATAACATCGCGTTGAGGAGGAATTCCAACGTAAAATTTATCGATCTAAAACGAAAATTTGAGAAATATTTAGTGGCTTTTATTACGCGCAGTGGGCGGGCGAATTAAGAAAACACTTCTTATTGGTCGCTTCTGAGATTTGTTTGACCAAAATTTCTTGATGAATGAAATAGTAATTTTGGAGATTTCGATTCGATAAAATATCGGCTTCACTTCACAGAATATACCTTAAATTTTGGAATAGGCAGATCAGCTTTAGTTCTTGTCGACCAAAGACGTGTTCTTCTTGACCTGGGATCTTTGGGAATCACTGCCGCTTGCTAGACGAAAACAACATATGTTACTGCAAAATTACTTGCAGAGATTTTGCGGCTGTCAAAGATCTCAAGATTACTCTTACTCCATCAAATTCTCCATCAAATCTGTAAATTTTTTGATGTCCTCTTCCTTTTAAAACTGGATCAATGATAAGCTTATAATTCCGTTTTCTTTCTGCCTCGTTTGGCCTCGATCTATGTTCTCCATTTGGGACTAAAAAATAAAGAAGCATTTCAGTTAAGCCTTCACGCAATCAGGGAAATTAAACACTGTACAATTCCACAATAAAACGTCACTAACTAGAGTTTGCACCAAGAGAATGTCCCTGGCCTGGTCGAACTCGTGATAAATCACCAATACGATGTCGTATATAAGCAGAAGGGTCGTTAGACATAACTTTGTTATCTATCCTTAACGAGGCTTTAAGATCAGTGCCATAGTTTCAAGAATAATGAACGATCGAGCACTTTAAATTTACTTTTATTATCCCTGCACTTCAACATCAGCGGCCATGTTGTTTTTCATTGTGGTGTCCCAACATGCTTTACGATATCAAAGTTTCTCTCGCGCGAAAATTTAATTTATGCGCGCTTTTTCAAATACTTCACGCGATGAACGCAATGTCATGCGATGCACTGTATTTGCTAAACAGTTATTATGTCATTTGACGTTCCGACCATACTGACAGGTGTTTGGCATGACGCAAACCCTTCAAACTCTTCTTCTGTATGCTTGGAAGCTACATAAATCCCTTTTCCTCTGATTTCAACTCAAAACTGATTTTATGTTTTCAAAATATTTATTCATATTATAAGCATATCATACAATAATCTTTACAACGTCTTAAACCGTCTTTGAAAAACGTTTCTTCGTCTTTTTCTTTTTTGATATCTCCCTTTTTGATGTGACTAACGTTTGTGGTTTCCGTTTTCTTAATTTCTTCCTGATTTCCGCCGGACTTTCCCTCTCCACAAATACATTAATATCCTTTTTATTCTCGATCACGTCAAGTTTCATATCATCAGGATTATCGTCATGATTATCATCAAGATTATCATCGGGATTATCGTCATGATTATCATCAAGATTATCATCGGGATTACCATCAGGATTATCATCAGGCCGAGTCGTTTGAGAAGTTGGGGAATCATTAAGATCAATAGTTTCTTCATCGTTATCTTCAAAGCTGATGTCCAAATCATAGATCTAAAGAGGCACAGAGACACACAACTATGAAGTATGAACAATGAACTATAATAACAACCAGTTAAACGCTGTCTGCTGAACCGAACAGCCTGCATTCTATTCATTCTGACATCACCTCGTCTTCAGAGTCGATTGAACCACGTTTCTCAAGAAGATTATTAATCTGCGACTTCAGTATTGTCTCATTTCTACCATTTGTTATTTCTTGTCGATCCTGAAGAATAGATTCAGACGTACATTCTTTTGGAAACTCAAGATTTTGCAGATTTATCATATTAAAAAAACATACCTCACATTGCTGTAGAATTTCCGAACTGCCTTGAGCATCCACAAAAAATAATGAATCGTTTTCAACAACATCGCCTTGTTCATTACGTTCAGGTTCATCTGATTCATATATTTTATCCCATTTCTCAGGATGGCTTGTCAACTAGATGATGAAACGACGATTGTTAGTTCAAAACTAAATATTTTAATCTTTCAACCAAACCCTGCAGCTCTTAAAAACATTTATACTCACATCAAGCAGTTTATCAATTTTTTTTTCGTCTTTACAAAATAAAATTTTATCTGTTATTTCCTGCCCAACCAAACCTGATAACTCCAAGTCTTGTACTAAGCTGTGGATAAAGAAAACATGAAACTAGAAAGGTGGAACCAACCGACTAATACATGTGTTTCACAGCCATTGAGTACCTGTGATCAATATCTGATAACCAGGAGAGAAAGTTTTGTGGAGGTGACAAAGAGCATACATTCTGAAGTAAAAATAAAACCAGTTAAAATATCCTGGTTTTCCCAGATAGTTAAAAGCTAGGAGAAACAAATATCATTCAAACATGAATACCTTTTTTAAATACCAACAATCCATTTCATCATCAGATAAACATTGCTGAACTTTCCTTGCCAAACATATGAACCTATAAAAGACACAAAGTTCAATCCACCAAACACCTGTGTGACTCATAAGTTAAGTTGAGGCATTTCATACTTGATATAATTTGGAGATTCTTTACTGCAAGCTTTCGTTGTTTCAAATACTTTCCTATAACGAGAGATGCATAAAGAAAGATTTGGTTCATTTTTTGTAAAGTTATGTGGAATTTTATATTTTATGAAAATGACAAATGAAATATATCCTACCGAAGAAATGGAAATACAATCTTTACAGTGGAACTTTCTAATGCAAAAATTTGATTTGCCATGTCCAAGATATGCCCTGGAGAGTCACCTTTGGAAAGAAATCACAATCTTTTATAGCAATCATTGCAGATATGATAACTCCTCATAACAATGTTCTTACATACCCAATAATAAATATACAATATTGGAAATATGATTGTTAATTTCTTCATTTCTATGAGAAAAGAAAAACAAGCTTTAGCAAACAAATTTCTAAGTTCAAACTTAATTTAAACTCCTTTCATTGTAACTTATAAAACATTAACTTTATTACCTTTCCTCAATAGCAATGATGACATCAATATATATGGCAATAGTAGCAGCTAAAATATCAAGAAATTGTTTCCACTCTTTGGTTTGTGTAGCATTATCCTAAAGGAAGCAGTAAATACACACAAATATTTAGTTTTCACTTATCATTGCAAAGGATCGAGGGAGATATTTTGTTTACTGAGAGTCCTATATAAAAAATGTTTACCTTATTCAAAGTACACTTCTTAATCTGTGTTTTTTGTTTCATAAGACAGTGTATTAAAAATTGATGAATGACATCTTTTAAATCCAACCAACTGAAGAATATAAAAATCGGTATTGCACAAGTGAGGCTGCAAGCTTAAGATATGCATAGTTTCATTCAATGAATAGAAAATGCGAGGCTTATTTACGTACTTCTCTTGTGTATTCCTAGATGCTTTCATTTTGTCATTAACCTTGTCAATCTCACTTAAATAAATGCAATAGAAAGATTACCCATTATTTACTAAATATTATTTTAGCAAGAATTCAATTTTTCTTTAAATGATTATTACCTCAAAACTGTTTGCATCAATTCATTCAGCATCTGTATTGAAAAGAGTTCAGCATTGTGTTAAATATCTCGAGAAAATGATACAACAATGATCAAAGAGATCATTTTACCTCCAAATTGTGGCATCTTATTGCCAAACGACCATATAACTCAATAAACTTGCTTAGAACAACAACTTCATTTTCATCTGAAGGCATTTCCATTCTCTAAAATAAACTCGTGAAATATTACCAATGCTTTGAACCCAAGGAAATATATTGTAATATGATTGCAGATGCTGATTGCCCAGATCCTAAAGTGGAGTCCTAAAAGGGAGTGTTCGTGGTATTGACTAATATTTTGATAGCGGTCGTTATCCTCATAGTAAAGTGGAGGGTAATGTAGCCATATGCGGAAGCCAAGCTTATGATTTCTCAACCTAGTCTGAGAATGAATATAAATTTAGTATAAGAAATATACCTGTGCTTTGAGCAATGATTCAAAGACTTGGTTATGAGGTAAACACAAAGCCATTTCTGTTACTTAAAAATATAATTAATTTGCATTAATAGAGAAGATAACATTTTGGTAAGAAAATCAAGTAAAGAAATTCATACAAAAAACATTGATGATATCTGAAACAACATTATAACTTACAGTACTTAATTTGCTCTTTATATGACTTCAGCTCAAAAATACTCCTCAATGTTTCATCAATACCATTTTTGTTGAAAAGATTGAAATTAACCTCAGCAGAAACCTTTTTTTCACAGTTCACTAGACTGACAATTGAAGAGTTATTACAGTTGGCTGCCTAAATCCAACGTACAGGACAGGGGCCAGTTGTATAAAACTCTTTAACTACATTTTGCATAGTTAAATCCTAGTTAACTCAGGATTACACAACTCTGGTTGGCTAATTCTGTTCTTAACTACAGTTAAAAGTTAACTAGTCTTTTATAAAACTACCCCTGGTTATCAATATGTAACATAATCTTTACCTCCAAAGATATTCAACATAATTTTGACTTGGATTTTGAAGAGCATCTTTCAATTTGCCACTTGGCAATAGTTCCAGTGATTCAAAGATATACGTCTCGAGATCGTAGTAATTGTATTTATTCACTCCTTAAAATACATCAATAATCATATTTTTAATACTTGAATAACTTGATATAATTTTTATACCATGTCAAACGTTTTGTTCAAAAGAAATTCCACAATGTAAGAGGCACGATGTGAAGCATGATAATAATAATCAACTTACCTCGGTTGATTTCTTTTGCCAAAAGCTGTAGAAATGTTTTACTTTCAGATAAATCCTGGATTTCCAGATTTTCCATTCTGGAACCCTGATCCGCCATCTTTAATTATTACAGCGCCGAGGCTGGGGAGAGTATTCGGAGGTTAATTCATTAAGGTGGTTCTTAGACGATGGAAATTTTTTTAGATGCACTACCCCCCCCCCCTACGGCCCCCAGATTTATCTTCACACTAAAATTTTCTTGTTTAATATATTTGCTATATTTTACATGTACCATCCAGACAACACCATTTCTGAATAAATATTTCTTTATATGTACAATTAACCATGCCAGCCTAATTTCCTCTTATGAACAACAGCACCAAAGAGTGTTTAAAATTGCTTCTTTTATTTCCAAAGAAAGCAGATTTCCTCGAAGATCATCTTTTAACTTGTTGTCTTGAACATCTAAAGAGAATGTGAAACATACATAAATACACTTTACAAAAGATTACACTACAAGTGATAGAAATATCTTTAATAAAAAACCTTCGCAATTTTCAAAGCATTTTAGGTCCACAGCGTTTGGCAGTGTTTGATTGAGATTGCTGTATTTAAGCTTCACTTCAAAGCCTGGAGAATCATCTCTAGAAAACTAAAAAATGACCAGGTAGAGATTGACAAACCAGTAACAGCTTCAAACATTTCAAAATTACCTTCAGTGCAAATTTAACAAAATCAAATGCAGGTGTGGCATAGAAATCTTTCACAGAATAGTCATCTCTTTCAGATTTCACCTGAGCACACTAAACAAACATGATGATAATTCTATGATATTCATGGCTATGACTGTGGCTTCAATGCATATAAAAATACGTAAAACACTTTCAATCATATAAAGAACGGCATATATTTTGTTGTCATCAAACCTGTTGTCTTCTTGAAACAAAAGCCTTCAGATACCCACTTATGACTGCAAGTAACTCCTGTTAACAGCCCAAACAAATATATCTGTAATACTTAAAACTTTGTCCTTTTCATCTTTACCAAAATCAATCAGTTATTTCACAGTTCGCTAACCTTGATGCAAGCAGAAGTTTTATATTTTTGGTGGATTTCCTCAAGTGGTATAAAGAATGGAATGGTGTGTTTTAATATCTACAACAAAAATTAAACATGCTGTTGTCATCATCAAAGAACCTGAGAACACAATAAACAAATCTTCAGACCTGAACTTTTTCATCTTCAATTTTAATTTCAATATAGAAAGGTTCATGGTAACATTCTAAATAGAAAGATATGATTAGAATTTTTTGGTTATTATTAGAAAAAAAGGCCAGCTTTTTACCTTTATAAAATGTGTCCAAACAAAAACGTACGCGGTTTTCATCCAATAACACAAATGCCAAGCCAGTCAACCGATATATATTATAAGTCTCCATCAACTAAATATTAAATGTATTTTTCTTTATAGGTCCAATTTTGGATTGATATTTTGTAGACACAATGCATACCTTTTTCTTTTTGACGAGTTCAATTGCTTTGCAGAGATTGTTCTGAATAAATGAGAAAAACTTAAAGATGGAAGGGAACGTTTTCAGAGGTAAAACATTTGCAAACTCACACTTACTTCATCTGCAAGATCACCGAGGGAAGCAATTCCATCTATGGCAGAATAGCAAAGGTTGTGTTGAAATTATACAGCATTATAGCTAGCAAGAGTGAGATGTTTCATGATCATTCATAACTACCTTCTGCATGTTTCTGAACATAACAATGAAGTTGGTTTAATAAAGATCCTTCATTCACTTTCTTTGTCAACTCTTCCTTTTGTTTTAATAATTCGTTATCTATTTCAAAAAGGTGAATTAGGTTCCGATAGGAGGACTACTTGAATCATTTGTTTATTGGTAAAATGTAACCTACATTCTTGTTCAAGTTCAATCAGTTCATCATCTTTCGTCCAGTGTAAACGACCTTCTGAGACACTACAGCAAAGAGTATGAATGAACTTTATCAGTAAATGACTGAATGTGTGAATCTTTTTCAGATTTCAAGTTGTGCAGACGTCTGCAGCACACTACAGCCAACATATAGAAGAGATATTGGAGTACAAGTATGCTAATATTTCATGTCCAGAATCCAGGATTTTCATCCTTAATCTAATAATTTAGGATAGATTTCACTGGTATATTTTGATGGTACTGGTAGTCTGGTACTGTTTCAATTTCAGACTCAGTATTTCACCAACTATGACGCACAATATCAACAACTTACTTGCAAAAACATACATTTTCCAAGCTTACAGTGAGAGGTATAATACTGTCCTCAAAGTCAACATTCTTTTTACCTGCTAGATTTTTTTCTAAGCCTTTCAAACTCTCGTAGAGTATTTCCTTTCAAAAACACGTCTCTCTCGTTACCCGCCATCTTCATTTATTTTTCCCGGCAAAATCAGTGTGATTGTTTCCACTTGAATAAAATGTATTTTTCCTGTCCCTTGCACATTTGATGAACACTTTGCGATAGTCGCACGTGAAGACAGACACTCATGTCACAGAAATCAGATTGTATAGTTTATTTGTTCATGAATATATAAATATTTTTAAGAGATGTTACATTATTAGTTAAGTTTATACCAGAGGTATCCATAGAACTCCTAATGCGTTTGAACAACGTGTTTTTCCAAAGCTTCGTGAATGGTAATCAAACAAATCAGACTTGCCAAAAGATTTTGACGTGTGCAGTGAATCGAATATATCCCAGGTTGTAACATCAAAAGAATATTCGACACACTTTGTTTGATTGCATCCAGTTTCTTAGAGAATGGTTAGAAGATGTTTTGACATATTTCCAGCCCCTTAGAGCAAAACCACAGTGCACATTCCATATGACCCGTTATATCCACAAAATTAGGATCACAGTCGAGGATAAAGATGCTTAGGATGGTTTCAAAAGCTCCTCGTTTCTATCCATATGTTACCTTGGAAGACCTTCAAATGCTGATTGTGAATTAAGAGCACTGGCCGCCAGACGTGCTTGTTCAGGGAATTTCGAAGGATCGGACAGAATAGTCGTGTTTTTAATGATTTCACGAAGCGACGCCAAGACACCTGAAAGAAACATGGCATAGTTGTTTAGCCACTGGAGGTCAAGTAAGGATCATCTCTTATTGATCCAGTGTTACTACAGGAGGAAACCTAAACTAAACTAACTTTATTTATACTGGATAGCTCTATCAGTTCTAAACTGTTCTTCCTAGAGGTTCAGTAAAGATCATCTCTTATTGATCCAGTGTTACTACAGGAGGAAACCTAAACTAAACTAACTTTATTTATACTGGATAGTTATACTGGATAGTTCTATCAGTTCTAAACTGTTCTTTCTAGAGATCCAGTAAGGATCATCTCTTATTGATCCAGTGTTACTACAGGAGGAAATCTAAACTGAACTAACTTTATTTATACTGGATAGCTCTATCAGTTCTAAACTGTTCTTCCTAGAGGTCCAGTAAGGATCATCTCTTATTGATCCAGTGTTACTACAGGAGGAAACCTAAACTAAACTAACTTTATTTATACTGGATAGTTCTATCAGTTCTAAACTGTTCTTCCTAGAGGTCCATCTCTTATTGATCCAGTGTTACTACAGGAGTAAAACTCGTATCATGACATGTATTTTCACAGAGTACTCACTCGGTCTTAATTTAGGTAAACAACAGCTTTCATTTAACCATTTCAGGACGGTTTTACAGAACTCGTCTTGACTACCTGTAGTTACCGTGGTGTTATAAGATTCGAATATTGGTCGCATTAAAACACTAAACTGTGGTTTCAGTTAAAGTTAAACAGCTCAAGTTTTGTACGCTATAAGATTAATTAAGCAAGCAAACTGCAGCTGGGATATAATCGTAAAAGATACTATCCAAAACTTCGGATTTTGTTGTGTTCGATCTTGAATATGGCGATTAAACAACAATTCCATTTCATTGTGGTTCTGCAAAAAATAGTAATATTCAAGCTTGTTGTGTTCGTAGTTTTTTCACGTTGAATATCTGGTTGTTTACGCACACACACACCTGTCTGTTGTTCACCATCACTCCTGTCTCTGGTAACTGTTGCTGACAATTGCTATATCAAAAACAAAACAATACCAATCTTTTGTATTCATCTATGCGCGGGTTTACATTCACTGACAAAGCTATGCTTTAAACTTGAATGAAGTCCAATACTCAGGAAGAAAGGAACATGTTAGAAACTTGTCTTACAAACCTTATCTCGAAGTTTAGTTGCTCAATTTCTTGTTTTAATCTGTCTCTTTCTTTGATCATAGCCTCGTGCTCTTGCTGAACTTGCAGGATAAAATCCACAGCTAAAAAGGAGGCGTTGAGAAGATAATAAACAAGTACACAACATTTACACAAACTGAAAGTGGTGTTTTATCATTTACATTTCTTCAAAACAGCTGCTTTGCTTATTTTTGTGTTCTCTTGGGAGGAAAGCGAAGGAACCATTTCAATCAGTTGATCGAAACCCATCTAGACGAAAATATATTCATGTTAGAATAATATGAAAAGAATCAGGACACGTCTGAATGATCCCAAGTTATCCCAAGTTATCTCTTTTACACACCTTGATATTGCCTCTTCGTTTCTGCTCAGCAGACACATGCACCATCCTGCGATGTTCCTGAAACATATATTGATATCTTCAGTGAAGATCATCTCTTATTGATCGATCAGGAGGAAACCTAAACTAAACTAACTTTATTTATACTGAATAGCTCTGTCAGTTCTAAACTGTTCTTCCTAGAGGTCCAGTAAGGATCATCTCTTATTGATCCAGTGTTACTACAGGAGGAAACCTAAACTAAACTAACTTTATTTATACTGGATAGCTCTCTCAGTTCTAAACTGTTCTTCCTAGAGGTCCAGTAAGGATCATCTCTTATTGATCCAGTGTTACCACAGGACTAATCAACCCTAATTTTATTTTACCCTGTATTTTTCTTTAGGTAGCATTTTAGTAAGTGGTCCTGAGGGAGTCTAAAGAAACAAATAAGTTCGTTTAGTAAATTTCAAAGCGTCAAGACAGAAACACAACAAGATGTACAAATTAAAGTACCTTTGATTCTGATTGCTTCGTTAGAAAATCTTGAAGTGCTGGGGCTGACGGGCCTATATTTAACACACAGCTTATGAGATCACGTTTAACAACTCAGAAATGTTTATCACAAACGTGTTTGATTAAAACAGTGTTTTAATTCACTACCGTCTATATCAGTGCTTAGTGTAGTTTTTGATGATGATGGTGAGGGAGCCTGTGCCTCACTATGAACAGCGAATGTCTAGAAAAAAACAGAAATTATTAATACAAGACAATGCTGGAGAGATATGGTAATGTGGCGAATGTATTCACAACTTACTGTCGATGTACTCCTAGCCATTGAGGGTAAAAATTCTGGGCTTGCTGTATCGGCGGCTCCTCTGTTGTGTCCTAGTGTGCCACTGGTGAAACTCTGTGATTGAACCATTGGATACTGGATTGATGTGTCCGCGTTGCTCAGACGCAACTGATCTGACATATGCACAAGAGTATGCGCAGCTGTGCTATGATGTGAAGTAGTAACACCCCCCCACTGGGAATTCACAACCACGGGATCCGAGGTCTCCATGCTCGGGATCCGAGATTCCGACGACGACATACGAAGTGCGTTTTCAACAATGCTGCTGTTTGAACGAATACCGCTTCTTTCACTAACTGCGGGCGATTCTGTCTTCACACTTGATCTGGGAGTTTGGGCCTTACGTCGGCCTCGTGGTGTTGTGACTGTAGATGTGAGCGGGGAGGTTGGGAAGGGTTGGGGATGGGAAGCAGGATGAGGCGAGGGTTTGATGAGGGGCAACTGTTGGTGTTGCTCTTGTAGCATATTTGCCATATTGCTTGCAGCTGAGGTGAGCTGAGAAATCAGAAAATTAAAAATATCAATTTGATCTATCATTAGATTGGATTTAGATCTATCAATTTGATCTATTATTAGACTGGATTGACATAAACGATCTTCCTGATAAATGATGTACGTATTGCACTTCCAACGAGTAACTAACCTGAGCCTGTGGAACGGTACCAGCGGCCGCCATACTGGTAAGTTTATTCAAAATCTCATCCATCGAGATTCCTTTACTCATGAGATGTGTGACCATTTCGTGAACCAGTTGCGATGGTTGTCGCTTTTCCTCACCACCCTCAGGGTGGTAGAGTCGATGGCTGGTCAAGACTTGCGGGCTCTGGTCGTGCCTGCCTGTAGGCGTAGTGGATGAAGCCCGCATCGTGAGGGGGGAATCACTAGATTCGGAATCACGTCGGGCCCTACTCGTTGACAGTTCGTTTTGCCGAATCAACGATGCTAACGCCGAATCCGACCGATTACGAGGAATCCGCCCCATTCTTTTAGCTCTAACGCCACCGGTTTGCGGTTGTTTCTTGAGCTGGGATGTATTGTCTAAACTGGCGAGGCCTGGGGCTGATTTATTCCGAGGCATTCGAAGTTTTTTCGCTTTCTCTTCAAACAGCATTTGACGCGTTTTTGGCAACTTCAGTTGCGCCACTAAGTTAGGGGCTTGGAGCTCAATAGGTAGATGAGCCCGCGGTTTAAACGCTGAGTCACCAGCGGAGAGCAGGTACAATTGGGAGTCCGAAGAGTTCCGAGGTAACCGAGCAGAGGCTGTTTCTATGACGGACGCGCTTTGCGGTAGTGGCTTTCTAATGTTAGCAGGTGGTACGTAAGGACGCGGGGTGATAGCTTGTGTAGGTACACCAATATCCATTGCTCTGGTGGCAACACTCATCATCGGTCTGGGTCCACCGGCATTCTGTCCTTGTGGGGTCAAGTTCCCCGGTAAAACATTGCCGACAGTTTGGTAGCCGATAACATGAGGATGGGAAACGGGTGCTGAGGTCCAAATGGGTAGCTGAGCCTCGATATGGTGCATGGAACTCGAGGGATAAATGGAATGTGTTGGCACGCAGCTTGTGTGAACAGGCCACGAGGTTTTCACGTGACTCGAGGTGGGAATACTGCTGACTGTGGGGAAAGGTTGAGGGTATCTTCCCGAGTGGTCCATCGGCTCAACATCGCCAGCAATCGACGACTGAACCGAACCCATGTTCGTCTCGTAGTTTCCAGTCAAATCGAAATCCCAGTTGAGTTCTGAAAAGATGCAAGGCACGGTGAGAATTGTTTTGACGATCGTGCTTTGTTGTGCCCACACTACCAGCCCCTGAGGTAAAAATAATTGCCTTCCAGGAATGCCACGTCATGTTTTAACCTTTTTTTATAGATAATGCAGACACAAATCACAGCAAACTAATCGATATATTTCTCAGACAAGCGGCTTACCCGAGCCTTTCATAGACGACTCTAATTGTTCAATGAGTTCGTCCAATACCGGAGTCATCGCTTCTAAACTTGGCTGAAGAGTGTCCAGGGTTGGTTGATATGTGTCTGCCGTGTCTGCAGGAAAAAAACCAGAAAAGATGCGAGGTTACTCAGGTATGCAAACACGTCTAAATCTAGTTCGATAATAGTGACAAGGAGTGAGACTTTCGAATTTCATTTTTAAAAAAATTAACTTCATCCATTCTCCAAAAAATTATGTGAGATTTACCTTTGAATTTTCCATATCTTACTCTGCCCATTGCTTCGTTATCAGCAAGACTCGAGAACAACGTGTCGGGGAGCGAGAATACCATGTCTGAAAAATGATGATTAGATGTTAACAGAGACATTGTAGAAACTGTGAAACCGTAACAATGGATAATACTGCTCGTTCACCGCGTCAACAAAGAAACTGTAGCATAACTTAGCATTAACATACTTTGCATGAGATTGCATGAGTCGACCATTTCCAAAGCTTGTGATACGACCAACGACAATGGTGAACCAACGTCAGCGCCCGCAGAATTTGCTTGATTTGCTAATGAAAATTTTCTAAAAATACAAAACAAAACGCAAACATTGAAAATTTTTTGTAGAAAATAATTCCCAAGTCTTCTTCCAAAACTAAATTCGCACGCAGATGAAACTTGGGAAGAGACGAAGATAAAAACTGTGGTTTAATACCGTTCCTTGTCACGTTCTCGTAAATTGTCTGAAATTTCTTGATCAAGACGAAGAATCTAAAAAAAAAATTGTAGCTGTGATTAATGATTATCAAGACCCTACTTGATTCTCTGGATTCTAGTGTAGGTTCCTGGTCATCAAAATATTCGATCATTTGATCATTCACTTTTCAAACTTCACTTTTCATCAATGAAAGTAATAAGAAACATTTCTCAGCTGAGCTAAAGTCAAGCTAACGCATGTTTTTAGCTGTGATTTGGTGACCAATATCCTTGAAAACATTGAAAATCATTCTACCTCTTCTGTTTGATTTTGCAATGTCACATCTTGAAATTTATCCTCTACCTAAAAAAAATCAGGAGGGATAGATATTCTTGTTAAATTTTTGCCAAAGATCTAATGAATTATGAAGAAGGAAATACTAAATGTAGATTGAACTGGTCTGATGAAGAACTTATACTGTACCATTTGCTTGTAAAACACTCTCCATTTTTGATATTCCGCTGCTACAGCTTCAAGTTTTCGTTTCCAGTATTTTCCTTCAATCATCAATGTCTGGAACGAAGAGGAGGCATGGAGAGGGTAAATCTTTGTTTGAACTTTAAGCAGATAAAGTTTTATTCCAATTTGAGGTGTTGGGTTTCACACAAATGGTGAGTGGGGAATGATAAAGCAATGGGATGCTGTGCAGTGCTAATTTATGTTATTATTGGTATTTTAATTAGATGTAAGTGTTGAAGACTACAATTCAAAGATTCAATCTTTCTACGGTTGCTTACCACAGGTCGAGGTTTTTTGGCCATTTCCGTCAAAGGGTTATCAAACTGACAAAACAAAGGTCTCTTGCATTCTTGAACTAAAACAAAACAAGACCTTCAAATAAACTAACACGGTGTAATGATAGATTCTTCCTTACTTGATCACTTCATATATGGTATTTTATTCTGTCTTATTTCAGAAAATTTAACAGCTGTTAACAGTATTCTTACATTGAATATGCCAAGACCTCCAAATTGCATTATTTATCCTTGTCTTCTCAGCAAATTTCAGCTTCTGACTTCGGAAGTTTTTCCACTTTGGCGTGAGCAAAATACTTCCGCTGCAAGGAATTGAGAGATGGCAAGAAATTGAGGGGATTATGAAAGAAATTTCATTGCAATGAAACGTGGAATGAGAGTTCGTCAAAGCAGTCATGAAGAAGATAAACATTCATCAGCAAAAGTGATGTGAAGAAGCTATTATCTTGCTTTAAGTATTAAAACTAGTGCAACATGCCAAAGGACATGTTTCGATGTCAGCTATGACAGGAATTTAGATTATCCATCAAGTGTTTAAAATGAAGGAAAGAATCGTGCATCCTGCTTTGAAAAACGTAAAAGAACTGTGCTATTTTTATTCAAATTAAGCAATTAACACTCTGGGGCTCAAGTATAATTGCTATATAATTGCACAATATCAAAAGAAAATTACAGATCAAATTTCTGGAAACGTTCCAGGTGACCTGAGTTACGTCATGAAAAACAACAAGGTAGAAATGTTATCAACGCAAACAAGGTTCAAAGGTGTCTAGCTAGAAACTCCACACCATTCCTAAAATGCTTAATTAGTGAAGCAATTACACTTCCCATACAAAAAGCCCCTCATTATTTTCTGACAAAACCGAAAGTTAAAACGCCACAAAGTCGACAATGACACATTCAATTATGAGAAATTTTCACAGGTAACTTCGATTAAATTTCGTTTAAATTGCGACGGAATCATAAACCATACCTGTATTCAAGGGTTAAGCATTCAAAAAGCCTCGCAAGGGAATCGTCAAGGGTCAAAGCGACTATTTTCCTGGGGTTAAAGTCCTCAGTAGGGATTGCTTTCTCCTCTGAAGTCATCATGAATTGCCCGCTCACACCAAACGCGGGTATTGACTGATTTTCATCTTTTTCCGATTCTTTCTTAACGTCTTCGCTAGTCATTTTAAAAACCTATGTAAAAAGGGATCTCTTTTCCGTAGGAAAGCACAGTTTTATGACGCTATTTCATGTTCGTGACGGAATATTTTCAAATATTTGTTGTTGTCGATATTGTCCGCCATTCTGCCAAAGAAGTCACGTGACACGCAACATTTTTTCCGGACAAAAAGTACGGCGAAAGAGGAACTAAAAAATTCCGATATATTGCATGGTCTACGCATGCGTTATCATAAGCTCATCTTTTGTTATGTACCCCCCACTGAGGTACCCCCTCAAGTACTCCCTCCCCACACCCCTTTGGAACGAATTGCAGCAATTAAAACACAATCAGAAGAGCAATATTAAATATTTATGTACAAATAGTTCATAATTGAACAACATTTTGCATTCATTCAAGTAACAATTCTTGAATGGGTGAATGAAGCAAGTTAACATTATCAAAGTTCTATGTTCTTTTACAATTGCGAACTTTATACAATTGTGTGCTGGTAAACGGTGCAACGGCTTGAATACGAGCGTCAACTTGCATGAGATTCCAGCTGGTAGCGATGTTACTGTGGGACCAGTGGAAGGTAGTCAGGTCAACCCAAAAACCGTCCACACACGATAGTAAGTTGGTAAACAGTCCATTTAAGCTAACAGTTTCGTGTTGGACAAGTGCTGCGCCATACATAGTATTTTACAAGGAAGGAAGGGAAAGCATAAACTTGTAAACACTTGCTCAAATCTCACTGTATTAATACAAAGTATTTTGTTGTACTTGTTGATAAAACAGAAGGAGATTTAAGCAAATGCAAATAAATGTACGCAAGATATCAATAGGAATACCGATTAAAATTATTAACACCAGATTTTAAGTTAAAAACTACGTTATTCTTGGTTGAACAGAACATGGAGTAACAGAGGCTGTGCTGTGACGCTAGGCGCCAGTTGGGTGCAGAATGTTCTTAGAAATGTTTCAGACCTCCAAAGGAAAACCAGGATCCCCTGCAACAGGCTGCCGTGGTGTGAGCTGTCTTTTTAAAGCTTCGACACAGTTTTGTGGAATTAATGAACCTAGAGAAAGAAAAACCGTTTAGAACTGATAGAACTATCCAGTATAAAGTTAGTTTAGTTTTGGTTTCCTCGTGTAGTAAAACTTGGTCAATAAGAGATGATCCTTACTGGACCTCTAGGAAGAACAGTTTAGAACTGATAGAAATAAAGTTAGTTTAGTTTAGGTTTCCTCCTGCAGCAACACTGAATCAATAAGAGATGATCCTTACTGGGACACTTTTGGAATAACAGTTAGAAACTCGTTAAGAACTCTCATTCATAGCTACAACGTTTACTCCAGAATATCGTACCTACAATACGTAGACCGTCCACAGTACGAACACGAATTATTTGCATACGTGAATTATTGCCTCCCTGAGTAGCAAGGACGTTTTCAACTTGATTCCAAACTCTCAAAACTGAACCACTGAGAATGTTGTATGTCCGCGTGCGTAACCCAACAGAACACGTGAGACCTAAGGCTTTCTTTTTACAATTGCCTTTCCTGAAAAAGTAGTAACACTGGATCAATAAGAGATGATCATTACTGGACCTCTAGGAAGAACAGTTTAGCACTGATAGAGCTATCCAGTATAAATAAAGTTAGTTTAGTTTAGGTTTCCTCCTGTAGTAACACTGGATCAATAAGAGATGATCATTACTGGACCTCTAGGAAGAACAGTTTAGCACTGATAGAGCTATCCAGTATAAATAAAGTAAGTTTAGTTTAGGTTTCCTCCTGTAGTAACACTGGATCAATAAGAGATGATCCTTGCTGGACCTCTAGGAAGAACAGTTTAGAACTGATAGAGCTATCCAGTATAAATAAAGTTAGTTTAGTTAAGGTTTCCTTCTGTAGTAACACTGGATCAATAAGAGATGATCATTACTGGACCTCTAGGAAGAACAGTTTAGCACTGATAGTGTAAGCTACTCAGTATTAATAAAGTTAGTTTGATTTTGGTAGCAAAACTCACCAATATGAATGCACACACTGAGTTTCCGAGGATTCGTATTGTTGGATCCAGGCGGGTTGTGCTGACCACACGGCCACCTAGGAAAGAAATGAAAGATCTTTAAAATGAAAACCGCCATTGTAATGAACAGGCGTGTTCTTAACTGACTATACAGAGCGGGTTAATTATAAATATCATCATCATTATAATTCTTATCGAATCCTAGTAAAAACAGTTTAAAAGGGATTGAGTAATGCTCGTGTAGTAACACTATGTAAAGACTGGATATCCTTACAGGACCTCCGGGAAGAATTTGACACGTTATCACTTAAAATTCAAATAATTCAACAAATTATTTCTGAATAGTTCAATATCCATGGAAATGGTTATGATTATTTTCGATATTAATAAATAAATATATAGTTTCCCCCTAATTGGAAAGTTACTAAAATCTCCCTTATCTCAAAAATATCTTAAAAATTCACCAAAAGACGAAAAAGAAAGATAGATTTTAAACACCTACGGCGCACACTAAAGAAAGACATAGACAGATGTGAACTTGTTGACAACTTCGAGTCAATACCAAATTAAAATTGAGGTGTCTATTGTACATGACGCGTAAATGAAATCAATAAAAACTGAGAAAATAATTAAAATCAACGACAGAACAGGAAAGCCAACTCGTGAATAAGTTCTCGAAGTAAGTTACGATCGCTTTCAACGCAAGTTGGAAACATTTCACATATTATTAGCGTTCTCACTTCTAAGGAAATTTAATTAAAAAAGTTTGACTCGGAGGAATAGTTAATATATTCTTTTCAAGTGTTCTTTGGTTATTTAAAACAACAACCTCCCCCACAGTAAAAAGTATGCGTATTTAAATTGAGAGCACCGCATGTTAAAACATATCAGTGATTTTTGAGCGTTTATGCAAGGTTTCAAAATGAAACTTATATCCAATTAGCTTATCCACGCATATCGTTTGCGATATATATATATGTAGAAGGCAAATGAATTACAAAATTAATCAGAAATCATTATTATAGCAGGTGCCAGAACCCAGACAAGAGACAGCTGAAGACATGCACGAGGGCCTCGACACATTTATCTGAAAATCTTCCCAACTCCAAGCCTCGGTATGAACGCATCGTTTCCAAATGTAACGGTTGAATTGTGTTTAACCACAATATCATACCTACGAGAATCGCCCTCGGAAGTCTATACCTTAAACCTTATCCTGACCTGCGTTGTGAATGGAGTATTATCGATTCTTGGTAGTTTGTTCAACGGTTTGGTGCTGATTGCGTTTTGGAAATCAAATGTACTGAGAAGCAACACTCCGTTCTTTCTTATAATGCTTTTATCGCTAAACGACTTCGCGGTAGTGGTTACAGTTCATCCATTGTTTTTGTACAACGCTATTAAACAACTGATGGGTAATGGCGACTGCATTGCAAAGGCAGTGTACCTGACAATTGCAAAACTATTAACAGGTTATTCTGGGCTGACACTTCACGTAATGAACATCGAACGATATCTTTCCATTGCACATCCATTCTGGTATCAACGCCACGTAACCCCACGGGCTGTCTTGGTTGGTACGGTTATTCTCTGGCTTATGTGGACCCCGATAACTTTCACCTCGTATATAACGGTGACATACACCGGAGGTTCTGTCGATATGCGCAGCAATCGTCTGTATAACGATCATATTTGTGTACGGTCGAATTTTTCAATCGCCAGGAAGAAGAGACGATCAGTGCCGGCGCCTTCCGTGATAGAAGTTGAGATCCCAACAGAAGCCATGCCAGGGATAGAAGTCGATAAATCAACACAAAGAACTCAATGGAATCGAATGAGTGAAGTGATAAAAGATGTAAAACTAGCGAAGATGTTTATAATTCTTGTGATATGCTCACAGGTTTGTTATCTACCAAACGTAGCGTATCATGTGCACCTGGGGATGAAGAGTTCTGAAGTGAAGACTGTTTCATCACTGATTCTAGGAAATTGGATTGTTACGTTTATTTCTATGAATTCTACACTTAATTCTTTGGTCTTTTTCTGGAAAAATTCGCAACTACGGAAGGAAATGCTACAGATTATTAAACCATAGTGGAACAAGACAGTAACGACCGCCGGAACCGCTCAAAGACCGACGCATGACACAGCTGATAGACCCACTGCATGACACAGCTGATAGACCCACTGCATTATCCCACGTTTAGTGACGTCAATGATGACAACAAACCAAATAAGAGGCAATTTTATGATTAATTTACTGAGCCCAAAATGAACTGTGTTTATTTATGATTTGCTCGCTGAGCAAAAGATTCCCATACGATTGCATGTCTTGTATTGTTAGAACTGCCAATGACGAGACATCTTTCCGTAGGTGGTAGGCATTTAAAAACTGATCCTTGGTATATAGCCAAGTGTATTTATCTAAGAATATGAATTGATCACCCACCTTCTCGTAAGATTTCTTTATATCCTGAATCGTTTCTTGTTTTTGCTGTAGTCCCGTGTTGGGGCGATAAACATGAAACATTTTCTTTTTCTGAATGCTCATGACTGTTTTAACAAGAATTGCTGTTCGTTTGTTGTTACGAACCTAAAGTTAACACAAACAGTTATATCAGTTCTCAGTTCTAAACTGTTCTTCCTAGAGGTCCAGTAAGAATCATCTCTTATTGATCCAGTGCTACTACAGGAGAAAACCTAAACTAAACTAACTTTATTTATACTGGATAGTTCTATCAGTTCTAAACTGTTCTTCCTAGAGGTCCAGTAAGGATAATCTCTTATTGATCCAGTGTTACTACAGGAGGAAACCTAAACTAAACTAACTTTATTTATACTGGATACCTCTATTAGTTCTAAATGAAAAATATTATGGAAAAATAACCCAGTATTTTAAAAAGCCCTCGTTGCAAGGAACGTGCCCTAACCACTGCCATACCTGATATGACATATAAAATCCTTCGTCTGGTAACTCATGATCTTGTAACATTACAACAGCTCGTTCCCAGGACATGCCGCGTTCCACGCTGACGGTATGCAACTCTGTCGACCCTGAAGCGTCGACGTTGTCAAATGTTTTAGTGTCCAACCGCTGTACATCCTCTCCTTGTG